CAGTAACTGTGAGCTAAATAAACCTTTCCTGCACTTGACTTGGCAAGTACAAGGTCCTGAGTTCAATCCCAGTACCACAAAATAAAATAAAATAAAATAAACCTTTCCTTCCCTCATTTTGAGTGTTGGGTATTAGCCCCGGCAATGAAAGAGGAATAACTGAGACAACACTGTTGCTTAAAGGCTGTTTAATCTGGCTTATTTCTGATCTAACAGGTTAGCCCTGTTTCTCTAGCTTGGCCTACAGGCTCTTCTGTTACCTGATTTTTGCTTATCTCTGTAACATTGCTATGGCAGCAAGAAATTCCCATTTCATTAATAAAATTATTATATATTATATAAAGAGAGAGAGAGAGAGAGAGAGAGAGAGAGAGAGAGAGAGGAGGGGCAGAGGGTGAATGGGAGGGTTGATAGGCGGGAACTAGGAAATCTTCAAACAACATCCAGGAGGACATTTAACAGAATCCTCACAGGAAGAATAAGGCTAAGAGGCGAATGCAGAGGCAGACTGTGTTTATTAATCCCAATTCAATCAGAGTAGCGCTGCCATTATCTCTTTTATGTTATGCAAATTATTTTATTATATCTGAAAAAATGGCATTGCTAGAAAGGAAATAAAAATAAAAGCCAAAAGCACAAAGTAGTGCAGCCAACATGTTACATTTGCTCATGTTGCGACACAGCAGCTTTCCTTATTTTCCACACCCGGTGTTTGTCCTGCAGTGCTGCCTTGGAATGCAGTACGCTCTCACCTTGGCAGTCTCCTGGAGCGTCTCCAGTGAGGGCTCCTAGATCTCTTAGAACCCTCACTTTGCTACTCCCCGCTGCTCCACACCTTGGTAATCCGTGCCGAGTGCCACCCCTCTCCTGCCACCTATATTCCACTTTATTTATTCACTTTCTTTTCTCCCCTCAGACTGCTTTTTCATGAAGGATTTTAAGTCACTTATGTATTTTTATCTATTTGGAAGACTATTCTATTTACCTCTGATCTGCTTATTTTAAAGGCAGAAATATATTGGGATATTAAAAGATATTCTCTATAAAACATGTATACATATATATGTTTAATTTAAATAATTTAAAACATTTAATTAACAAAATATTTAATTTTGTGGCAACAGTGGTTTGTCTTTCACTGAAAGGTCTTTCTCTTCTTTTTCTTCTGTGAGTTTGTAAGTACCTGCTAGTTAAGCACAAGAAAACATACCAAAAAAAAATCTTTTTAATATTCAGTCCATATTGCTTGAATCTATATTTTATAAAGCCATCTAAGCCATATTACTCATTCTGTTTAAGTGTCCCTCAGATGGCCTTCCCTTTCCTTTTGTGAGGACAGTCTCACATGCCCACAAGGCAACAGTAAATCAAGCTTACAGTTCTCGCACTGTTACTACATAGACATTGTCATTGTCCACTGAAGCACGGCAGTCCTATCTCTGCCACTGCCTCCCACCTGACTAGAGTAACCCATAGACTATTCTCTTTTTTTAGGAAACAGGGATTGAGCTCAGGCCTTTGCGCTTGTCAGGGAAGTGCTTATTCTACAGAGCCTTCTCCCTGGCCCCAGACTGTCTGTTCTTATCCCAGCCTGCACCATCTCATTACCTGGGTCTCACTTTGGCTCAGTGCAAGAGAAACCTACTGAGCTTTAGGCAGATGGTCAGCCTGTTTCTTGGCCTGGGATGTCATTATCCCAACTTCTGCTGTAGGGTTGTCTCCTACCTTTGTCAGAAAACTCAAAGCTGACCTGTTAGCTTTCAGCTCTGATTTCTTCAGGTCTCTTTGAAGCCAGGTAGTCTCTCTTCAGGCCCATTCAGGCAAGGAAAGATTCAGAGGGACTCCTGGGCTTAAATAGAAGACATTGCTCTCTGTCCATTCAAACATTGATCTCCTCGTACTTTGGTGAGAAAGCCCAGTGTTGGCACAGGAGCAGGGGGAAAGGTGGCCCCTTGCAGATTTATACTGGGGGGCATAACATCCCCCTCCATCTACCAATGGGCTTTGCCACCAGCGGTTATCCTTGGCTCCTTCTCTTGTCTATGCCTAACTTTGGTTCCAATTTCATGGCTATCAGAAGTATATTAAGCTCATTACATAAAAATTCTAGACATTGGCCAACCAAGTGTAGCTCTTTAATAGAGAATGAGAGAAAACCAATTTACCATATCTTTTTTTCCCAAACCTAATTATTTTGCCCTTCTTCCCCCAGCATGATAACAGTCATGGATCTATACTAGTTTTTAAGGAAAAGATTGTCTTAAATAAGTTGCATTATTTAGTACTTAAAGACTGGATGTCCTTACCACAACTTGTTATATGTAGTCAGTAAGAGATCTAATGCCTCTTCCATTGTTTTCATCATCTGTATTTTTTATTATAGTTCCTAGATCTTTTTTACTTGTGTCATAAAATTCTCAAATTTGTTAAGAACTGTGTTATATGTTACTGTGACGGAAAGAAATATGATATTGGCAAAAAGTACCATCTCAGCTCAGGAACTTTCCATAGCATTGTCTCCTGTACTGTGATTCACCATCAGATCACTCTGTCCTGACATCATGATACTGTGCGATTGATTTCCCCCTAAGGAGGGGCCAGCGTCTGACTGCAGGTTCCTATCCTCAGATGCATCACAGTGACCCATTCGTCATGTAATGTCTGTGATTTCTCCTTATATTAATAGTCTTCTTTCCCTAATTGGGCATTGTCTTCCGATAGGGCATTTTCATGTACATACAAGATTGTTCTTTTCATGTGATGAGTACAGAATATTAGGAAATATCATTATGGCAGTGGCAGGTGTGATACATTGTTCAGTTTTACATAGCTGAACTATTGCTGCCAGAAATGTGTCTCCTGTAAGGAAGCAGAAGAGAGCTGAGAATGTTTCCTTGTAACCACTTGGCTTAGGATTCTTCTGAGTAGGATGAAAGATGTGAGAGCTGGACTGGGTATTCAAGATGCTGAAAAGTCATCCCTTTGAAATGTACCTGTGGTGTGCAAAACCACAGTCTATTCTTGTGCGTGATCACAAAAAACAGAATACTTCCAGATTGATACAGAAAAGAAACCGTTGCGCCCAACAAAGCCGTCTCAAATTCTGTGTTTCCCACTTTGAAATGCAGCTGTTTTCTGGGAGCATTGTCACCGATCCCTTCTAAAGTACATATTCTTGTAATGAGTATATCAAAGCTTAAATTAGTCTTCAGTGCAACAAAGGAACGATGGAAATGTAATCTCAAAGGTTATTACATGAAACTTATTTAGTGTAGTTGGCTCTATTCACTCTGAAATTGAAGTCACCTTCTGTAATGCACTAGTTGGGGCTGGGGAAATATGGGCTTCAGTCCTCTCTTCTCAGCTACAAATTGCACATGTACAAGTACAGGGTGGACATTTGTTCCATACATTGTTCACCATTATTGTATTTAATTTCTGTCCTTCAAGGATACATCATACTGTCTCTTGTGGGTTTCCTTTCTTTTTTTCTTTTTTCTTTTTCTTTTTCTCTTTTTCTTTTTCTTTTTTTTCTTTTTTTTTTTTTTGGAACCAGGGATTGAACTCAGGCCCTTGTGCTTGCCAGGGGAGCACTTATTCCACTGAGCCATCTTCCCAGCCCCTCCTTCCAAATTTTGAAGTTAGTTCATGAAAGCTAATGGTTGGATTTGTAGTCAAAAAGTACAGAGAAGTCAACAAAGTCCTTATGTCTAAGTGACACATATATTGCAATATGGGGCAGATATTACTCCATGGTGGGCATCTGTCCTTCGGATGGCATGCTGCAATGCACACATCCACCCATTACAGAAAATATGCTTAAGTGTAATAGTCGCAAAATAAATTAGCAGGTATTAGCACAAAATTCAAAACACAAATTTAGATTTGTTATGTTGATGGCATCATAGCTCTTCATCCCAGAAAGTATATTTTATTATTACAAGCCAATATGTATTTATCTGCAAATATATGGTAATGTTTTCTGAAAGATTTGAGACATACTCTGGATTTAATTTTTGCAAGGTGATTCTTAAAACTTGAGCTGAATTATAAATGAAACTGCTTTGTGGAGACCAACAGAAAGCAAAGCTGTTGATTTGTGAAGTTTGAGACGACATCAGTATTCCAAACCCAGCTCAATTGTTGCTATCTCATTAAACAGAACTGGGTAGACACTTAAAGATTTTTTACACATTTTAATTCAGCTGGTAACTTGATTTAAAACAACATTGATTTTTTTCAATTTATTCTTGGTCATGTATATCATGCTAAGTATCAAAATGAATTTGTAACTATTTGAGGCTGTCTGCATAAATTTTTGGAGAAGCTTTCTTTCCCTATGCTAATTTTCATCAATTTGCTATTACTTTCATTTCCCCTTGAGCTTCAGCTTTTTAGAGTTATTATTCATTCTTTTCACCATACACCACGATCATTAAGCAATTAAACAACTATCAGGCAGAATAGCAAGAGACTCTATGGGTAATAATGAGGCTAGAAGCTCTCCTGTTCAACCTGTTGGCCCGTCTTAGAAGAAGAGTGTCATGCCAAATTATCTTTATGTGGTTGTGAATAATGTTAACAAGGGTGGATGTAGAAGTGAGGATAGAGGGTAATACTAATGGCAGGAATGATAGTAATATTCACCTTGCAAAACAGGCTAATACCTGAACAAGATGCTGTCTCCTCTTGCTGCTAAATTAGGTATGTATTAAGTAAGTAGTCCCAATGCCTATGTGTGATCTAACAGAATTAACTTAGAAAGAAAGAATATACCTCTCAGGGTTTAGAAGTTTCTCATGAGGCCATCCAACAATTACTTGGAACACACATTTAATCTTGAACGTTTGGCACATTGATTGCACAAGCTCTTCAAGTATGAGTGGGATAGGCAGGAGAGGGGATCCCGTGAAGCAGTGGTAGCTTCTATTTTTAATTTTTGGCTTTAAATTGATTTCCAAAATAACTGAGGTCTACACTTGTGATGTTTCTTTGTGCAGAATTCCAAAGTGAGGAATCAGAACTTTAGCAAGAAGATCCACCTATACTGAACCTGAAATCAGTGGCCAGTGACCCTGGGATAAGAATACTTAGAAAATTAGTCACGTGTGAAGGTAAAAATGGAAATCAAAGAGGAAGGAACATCAGAAGAAGGCCAGCACTTTCTTTCTGTGTCCCAGGCCAACGACACTGGTGGCGCTCAGTTCACAAGTAAGTGTGTGTGCCTCTCCCAGGAGCTCTCTGAAGTTGCAGGTGAGAGTGACCGACCACCAACGCTGTGCATTCCGACACATGGCACAAGGCTGCCTAGATGTGTTTCCTATGCAGTATTTACTATTGTGTTGTGAGTGTATGGTGTGCCGTGCATCTTTTACCTTGAGTAAGACAGGTGATACGCCTGACATAGTTACTACTTTCTGAAGTTATATTGACACACATATTCCTAAACAATAAAATCCTAAACCCTAGAACTTTAAACTGACACCTCTTAGACACTATTACTATTTAAGGTTACCATCTCGTTGGGATTCATTTATTCTTATGTGGGATTGTTTCTTAGAACACAAAATTTTCTTGAAAATCAGAAGACATTTAAGTAGAAAGCACCAGTGAAAAATTGTTACGCAGGACACATGGGCTTTTACTGCCCTTCCAGAGAGCACAGATTCACATCAATAGAGCATGTGTGGAGATTTGGCCAAGTTTGAGTTTGATCATTAGAATTGATCTTTGTATTAAAAACATTGCAAGAACTATATGTTTTCTCTCATACTTAAATTTATGGGACTTAGGGCTTACTGTTTAGTATGGAATATGTCTTTCTTTCAGAAGGTTTCTGTTGCCCAATTACTTAACACTGACAAATGTATGCCTAACCTTCTTGTTGAATTTACATTATAGAAATTATCTTTAGAAAATTGTATGAGTTGGATGCATTTTGAAGAAATTTGCTTGTCAGAGTTTGTAGCCCAGTTAATTAATAACCTTTAAAAAAATCTAGATTATTTGAATTTTACAAAGACCTACCTGATCATCCCTCTAGCCTCTGTTGAGAAGTCTAAAATTTTTAACTGTAGCATTCTTAAATGTCAGCAGGAGGGAACAGAATAAATGGTTCTCATGTCAGAAGGAAAAAAAAAAAACCAGTTCTGCAAATAAGAACATTATTTTTATACAAAGATGTTCTTTAAAAGTATATTAGTGATCAAATACCAGTAAATTTAAATAATATCTAATGAATGTGCCAGCAAAAATAAACAAAAAATGTATAATATTACATTTATTGCCAAATGGCTTCCTTTTCCACACATTTAATTTTGCTTCCTTGACCTCCGACGAGTTGTCTTCCACTGAGGCCCAGGAAGACCCTGCAGTGTGTGGTTGCGGCAGGCGCCTCCTCCCACATCATCCCCTCTGCAGCCTGACCATTCCGTGGCCTACTCATTCGATGTGTCCGTTTCCAAACCTTCGCTCTTGGGCTCACTTTTCCTCTCACTTGATCATAAACTATTTAGCCATGCTGTTATATTTTTAACACATTGCTAACAAAAGAAGTAGAAACAATGAACAAAACGTGGATTTCGCCTGTCAATAAAATAGCAGAATAACCAGCACTAGGAAGAAACCTGCCACAACCTTGTTGGAGGAGTTTAAAGGTTTTCTACTCATGACAGGTCAGAATGGCTTGAGAGAAAATCTATTTAAGAGAGTACTGGGGAGAAGTGGTTCTTTTCAGAGACCCTGATTCTGTGGAATGTTTCTAAAAGAAACACACACAATTGAAAAATATGTCCCTTATTTGTCATGATTATGAAAACAATATTTCTCAGTTTCTTTTTGTTTGTGGAGCTAAATGGACCAATAAAACGTTAGTTGTGTGTCCTGCTATTGCATTATGGCCCCTCCTGATGGCACTCTACAGTTGGGCCAGATTGCCCTGCTTTATTCATCCTGATAATTGCATACTTATAAACTGAAGTCAAGGTGAAGTCAGTGATGCATATTCTCATTAATAATGAGTTAAAATATTTAGATCTGAATTTACATCTGTTATTTGCAGGTATCCAGAAGAGTGCAAATGAACCACAACTAGAATTCATCCTTGGTAAGGAATTCCATCTTCTCTATTAATAAAGATAATAGGAATTCATATAAGTAGTTTGCAAGTTACAATATATTATTTAAGTCATTACATATTGTACAAACTTTTATGAACATTGTTCTATCTAAAAATGCTTTCCATAGATAGTTGTTATTTATCCCAGTTTATTACTAAGGAAAGTTGAGCTTCTGTATAAGTTAGTTTGCTGCCAAAATATTTAGAGTTCCTTGGTGAGGGGACTTTACCTCTTAACCAAGTGTCCTGTGCTATCACTCATTCAAATGCCACCATTGCATTTTGTTGCTGATCAGTGTTGTTACAAATCTGCTTCCTTTTCTACCCATTAGACAAGAAACTGGCTACCTGGAGAGCAGCACTGCGTGTTTCTTTATGACTTTTGTAAGGTTCTTGTTCACTTTCTGTCTTACTTGCAAATGTCACTCCCTTCATCGTCCATATTGATTTTATGGACAAATCTTTGACACTCAGAATTCAACTTTAAACCCAAGCTTTGACTTACTTAAGCAACTGTAAGGATCTGTCACATGTAAAAAATGTGTAA